TGCTCCGGTAGATGCACACGCCACAAATGACCTTCATCTCAACCGGCATGCCATACAAGTCGGACGCGGGGCCGCTTCCCGCTGTTGCCGAGGACGATGGAGCCGCCGCCGCGCTCTTCGTCGGCATTGAGGCCGTCTTGTTGGCAGCCGCCGACGATGGCCCACGCGCTTCGTCTGCGATCCCGAGCGTATGCTCGGGCCCCGACCCCGACCCGCGTGCGCTCCTGCTGGCTGAAAGCGGACCCGGGTGCTTCTTCTCGGCTTGCTTGAACATCCAGTTCTTGGATGACTTTGAACACGGAGCGGGCATCGTGAGCGCCATCTGATGCGTCCCACCGAGTAGCATCTGGTCCAAGTGGACGCCTATTAGCCGCCGATTCCATGCAATCGCTGAAACAATAGGCGAGGTCTCGGCATCGGACTGCAGCCCAGCAAGTTCTAGCTCGATTCCAGGAAATAAAGTCCACCGAGATACATACCGAGCTCACATGCTCAACGCACGGCGATGGAGGCGACAGTGGCTCAAGGCGATTCGTCGTCATCAAGCCGGTCGAGACGACACATCCTTCTGGCACCTCGTTGCGATGCGCTCGGGGCCATGCACTGGGTGGTGCAGCTGGTGCCAGATTAGCCTTCGGAAGCTATTCGGCGCCACCCACCAGCAATGTGGCGTGCCGATCTGGCTCGTCGTCAGTGTCGAGAGATTCGTACGCTCCTTCTCCTCGACACGTACATACTCATTGACAAACTGACGACACGCGCAGCTTCAACGTGTCTCGTACACCGTCCATGCGGGCGACCATTTGGGGTGCTCACATGCGCGCTGACGTTGGTGTCATGCCACGTTGAACGCCTGCTTTCGAGTTTTTTCTTTTCTGCTTTGGAACGCAACCTCACCGAGCTTGCGCTTAAACAAACGCGAGCGCCTTTCTACAATGCACGCAGCCGCAGTAGCCATCGCCGTCTCTATCGCGGCTAAACGGACGCAACTCTCCGTCCATACTCAGACGCAGCGGACAAGGAGACGTCGAACCGCTGTCGTCAGACATATGGCCTGCCGCTCTTGCCATGGCGTCGCTGCGTGGTGTGGCCACGGATCTTGATGAATCGTTCGAGTTGGATGGCGAGGGTCGACCGACGGCGAGGCCTCTTGTGATGAATTGCAAGGCATGGCGCAGCTCCACTGGTAAACCGACGCCGCTTGGGTCGTCTTGGCACATGGACCGCAGCCATTCGTCGCCGTCGCCCTTGGCAAAGCCCACGGCCAGGTGGTTCTGCACGTTGATTGTCGTTGTTCGCTGGGCCTCGTCCTGCACGAGCGCAATGAACACAGACGGCCTACTTGCACTTTGGTGCGTCGAAGCAGTCGATGGCTGCGACCCGAGCCAAATGCAGCTCGATATGGCGGCTTGTACCAGACGACATGGCAAACCCAACGCTTCTGTTTGGACTTCTGTAAAACAGTAGAAGCGCTCGAGCGCACCGTCGACAAACGACAAAGATGGAGCTTGACGCCACTGCCTCCGCCGCAAGCATGGCCTGGCTGGCAGTGAGCGTATGGCATTTGGCGGTTATCCACACGGCGCTCACACACATAGGCTTGATTGGGATTGTCCACATCCAGGTTCCGCATTCAAGATGTAGTGACTTTAAGTGGGCAGCGTAGGCGTAAAACCATCGTCCGCCCGGTCCATGGCCGGCCTTGGAGTCCTTCCCGACGCCATTTTCAAAGAACTTTGTCGTGAGGCTGCTGCGAGAGCGCCATGCGAGGCGTAAAAGAAAGACTGAATTCGATACAAAATATGCATTGCATTCGCACTGGATTACGCAAGACGAAGCAAAGCCAACCAAGCATTTCGGAGAGAGCGCCTTGGTGGA